TCAGTTTGTATGCATTATGTAACAAAACCTCTACTAATGAATTGGATCCACCTCGGTCCCTTTGTGGTTGGGTAATAAAAACCCACGGCCCATTACAACAGCTATTTTCATCTTGGAAGATCCCTGACTCTTTGCAAAATGTATTGCCGTTTTCTAATTTAATAGCAACAGTACAGCTTAAAATGGTATCTTTTTGGAATGTACAAGCACAGAATGTGCTAAAGAGTTCTATACCGAGTCTAACCTTGTGTCTTGAGTTTTTCCCAGTGTCTTAATGGGATAAAAGAAGAAATCGAATCACAGATGTCTAAGATGCTTGTGACTCATAGTCTTTTAGCTCAATGTTCCATGACTTGAGCATTATTCCTAATGGAAAAAATTGTTCTTTATCTTTTTTTAAAAAAATGCATATATAAGAAATGTCTTTATTTAAAGTTGACTTTATCATAGTGTTCTGGATAAAACTAGTTGGTTATGAATCCACTTTTCTTCCCCAACAGACACCATCTCCAGATAGGAAATACAGTATAAATGAACATATCTTACAGCATGAATTTTCACATGGTCTTTCAAATCACAAGATTTCATTATTTGCTCTTAAGTCGTCCTGACATCTGATCTTTCAGGCCAGTGACTCCCCCCCCTTGGTAACACACAGTGTCACGTGGTGGTGGAGCACTCCTCAGAGATGGGGAGGCAGTTGTCTGGAGTAAGGGTTGGCCATGGTGATTCTGAAGATGTTCATTGTTCCTCAGCTGACTCTTAGATGCTACTTAAGTTGAGAACCACGTCTTTAGACAAATAGAAGTCTTTTCACTGAGTTCCTGTTGGTTGGTTGGGTGGGTTTTTTTGTGGATTTTATTTTTGTTTTAAAACGGCTCCTTTTGTCTTCCCTGTGTGCTTCTACGGGCTTTCTCCAGGCTCAGTTCTGTGGACGCCCCCTCTCTCCATACTCTCGCTCATACTTAAGGACCCAATACTCGAGCCCAGTACTGCAGTCATTATGTTAACCCATCTTGGGAGGGGCTTCCTTTCTTTCTCCACCCATCCACCTTCCCAAGCATGATGTCCCTTTCCAGGGAATACACTCTCCTAGCAACATGCCCAAAATATGTTAGATGAAGCGTTATCGTCTTTGCTGCCAAGGAGCACTCTGGCTACACCTTCTCCAAGACCTATCTGTTTGGTCTTTTGCAAGTCCATGGGATGTTCAGTACCCTCCTCCAACACTACATTCCAAAGGCCTCAGTTCTTGTCATCCAGCTCTCAGAGGCACAACAGGTAGTTGTAAAGACCAAGTTCTCTTCTGTTATGCAACTACTATTTACCCTGAGCTATGCATATTACCATCATCCAATTTAATCTACCAGGCCCTCTGAAATTGGCATTTTTATCCCCATGTTATAGATGAGGTAACAAAGATCCAGTGAGATCAGATGACCTGCTGAAGGTCATTTGGATGGTAAAGAACATGGTTGTTGGACTCCAGAGCCCACGGTGCTCTTGACCATTGTGCAGTTACTGACTGTTTTAAAGTACCTCCTTGGTCTTCAGTAGCTGCATTTGTTTCATGCACATATGTCGCGTCCACGTGTGACTTCCCAGCTTAATCACATAGCAGGCGCAGAGTGCTTACTTATTGATAAAGTGGTTTTGTCCTGTTCTCTGTAGTGGTCCAAATATTAGAGAGAGAATGGATTGAATGTGTGAAAGTAAAGGACATGCACGTATTCTTTTCACGTGTGTGATGTGCAGACTTCCCCCAGGAGAGGGTCGGCATCGATATGGACTCACCACTTGAAAAAACATCCTCAGCCTCCCACTTAGAGGAAGAAGGTAGCTGAAGGCAGGGCCCCTGGGCCCACCCTCAACACAGCTGTTCCGGTTCTTAATTGGCAACTGTGCAGAGTGCTTCCGCTATTAACGTAGCCATTAGGAAAGTTCTGTTGTAGTTTAAGAATATAAACTGCTGTAGCCAGGAGTCACCACAGCTCATCAAAGACACTACAGGATCACCGACCAAATTCTGCACCAATTATTCTCCCGTCCCTGCCCCCCCATACTCTCTCGAGTGCACATTCATTTGTTGATCCCTGTTAATGCCTAGAAAATTCTCCCTGGGCTGGGCCTGGCTTCCTTACACTCCCACTGCCTGATGTTCCTGCTTCCTCTCCCCCTTCCACCACCCCCTCTGGCCTTACAGAACCTTCTTAACTCCTCACTCACATGTACCCCTTTATGTACATAAAACGGAAAGACCTTCCATCCCCTCCCATCACCTCCACCAAGCTTCCTTCTACCTTGAGTTCATAATCCCCATCTCTTTGGCAATTCTTGAGCTGGTTGCTTCTGTCCCCCACCCCCTTGCTTATTTAATACCATTAGTTTTGTGTATTCAAAAAACTATTTTTTTAACATAGAACACTTTTAAAATTTGCCATTTTCCCCAAAGTTTAAATTCCTTTCATGTAATAGAGAAAACATTGACCTGAGAGTCAGAAAGCCCGAGCTCATCAGATGAATTGTTTAACTTTGCACACCCAGGTCCCCTTATCTTTAAAATGGACGTGATAATCCCTGGCTGTTCCACAAGGCTGCGGGGGTCAAATGAGCTACTGCATGAGAAAGTACTTGCCAAACCATCAGGGATTCCACTAGTTGGGGCATTAGTAAGGGAGCCAGATGTCATGTGTTCCTCTGGTAAACCTCACGGGTTCAATAGCACCCTGGCTCAGCACTCACAGGATTTCCCTGCACATTCCTGGAGGACAAGACCCGACTGTGATAATCATTTATGCCCCCAACACCTCGTTTAGTGCCTGGCACAGAAGGATCACGTAAGACGGTGGGGGGTTTTGGTGGTTTGGAGGTTTTTTATACTGGTCTACTTATAAATTCATATACATTGTTTTTCACATTGCCTTAACCCACCCCTCCCTCCACCCATCAAATTGTGCGACCTTATGATTAATTGCCCCCTCCCTCGCCGCCCATCCTCACCCCGTTTCACCCTCCCCTGCTGAGGTCCTCACACACGTTTTACTAGTTATCTGTTTCTACAATAATGATATTGCACAGTATTTGTCCTTATTTGTCTGCATTAGATAAGATGGTGAGGGTTCTGATGGATGGGAAAAGGGCTGTGGTCATCTTTCCAGCCCTCCTCTTTCCCCATCTGGACCTCTTCTGAAATCACAATGTCTGCAGCAGAGGATATGTCTTCATTACCTAGTTTCAGTTACTTCTGTTAACACAGATATCACAAGTGGATGGATGGCTTTACCAAAGAGAAACGCGTTCTTTTCCTTTGAGGAGGCTAGAAAGCGGGATGTCAGCTCTAGGGGAAGTGCCCCTCTCTTAGATGTCAGGGAAAGGGCCTTGTTTTCTGCAGCATCTGTTGCCATCGTGGTCTCCACATGCCCTGGCCTTCCAGGGTGTCCAGGAGCTTCCTGGCACAGAGACCCATGTCTGAAAGGACATATTCCACTCCTGGCAAGTCTTCCTTGGTGGCACCGAGGTCCCACCTCTCAGCTGGCATTCCTCTCCTTGTGAGATAAACAGGCCACACTCTAGAGAAACTTCCCTTATGCCTTTCGGGAAGGTGGTGGTGGTTGTGTACCGTAGAGTCGGAACTGACCCAGAGCTGACCCTCCTGCACGTTTTCGGAAGCAGTTAATTGTCCCAGAAGAGATTGCCCTTCTTTCTTCCACGGAACAGCTGGTGGTTTCAAACTACGTGCCTCAGGATTACAGCACAGCTTCTTACCACTAGAGATCCCTCTTGTCTCATTACTTACATGTATTTGGCAGGGATACAGTTCAATTCATGGTAGTAAGGCTGGATTTGACTTGCTGGAAGGCTGGAACACTTGAAGATAGATGTGTTATGCTCCCAGACCTTGGTGTTAACAACACGCTATGATGCAGGGTCCCTCAGGGATTGCATTTGAGGACAGAAATTGTAGGAGATGACTTATGTATGGCAGGCAGGGTCAGATTTGCTAGGTTTCCAGGTTTTTGGATATTGGGTAATTTGAATAATCCTGCAAATTCCTTTCCAATCCCAGTGTTTATTTTATTGTTTTTGCCACCAAGGATTGTGGCACGTCCTACTTCTAATCAATGAGATGTAAGAGATCATTTGCTAAAAAGTTTTTTTCTTTCTTTCATAGTAGGAGAGAACCACTACAGGAAATGGTTTTTGACCCCTGACTCATTGTTTCCTACTTTTGAATAAGGTCGTGATGACTGGTTCTGCCGCAGCCCTCTTGTGACTGCCCCACTATTCCCAGAAAAGTTGACAGGTCTTCCTTCCATTAATAAAACTGCAGATCCCCTGAGGCTTTATTTTCTGTATGCATTGTCAACTTTATTATCTTCTTCTTGTTGTTGTTGCTGTTAAGTGCCACTGAGTTGGATCCAACCCATAACTGACCCTCCAGTAGGTTTTCAGAGACAGTAAATGGCATGGGAGGAGATTGCCCATTTTCTCCCACAGAGCAGCTGATGGATTTGAACTGCATGCCTTAAGATTGGCTGCACAAAGTGTTTACCACTCGACTACCAGAACTCCCCTATTATATTCTGTTTCTAAATGACATTGTTATTTTCATTCCTGTTTACTGGGTGGCCTTTTTAAGGATGTATAACTATGAGTAAGCCCTTTATTCTATCATTTCATTGGTTCAGTTTGCCTTCTATACAGCGCTGGCTCATAGAGAAGTGTCGAAGTGTGTGATGATTGAGTTTTGTATCATGCTCAAACTTCCTTATCCCTAAGTAGCAAAACTGTAGTGTTTCGAGAGCCTCTCTTCCAGTGTTTCCCTGCCTGCCAGCAGCTCTTACCCATTGTGACAAAGCTGGCCCTTGGAAGGCTCCTGCTCTGCCACATCCACATTTTCCTCATGGTGATCCCTGCTTCTTTGCTCTTCTCTCCTCGCAGCCATAGGAATTCCGAGCCAAGCTGAGACCTAACATGCCTGTGGTTCCCCCTCTCCACAGGTGAAGAAGAACTGAATGTGGAAGAGGATGAGGAAGTGCTCACTCTGTTGTATGACCCGTGTCTGAACTGTTACTTTGATCCCCAGACTGGGAAATACTACGAGTTGGTATGATCCCTCCTTGGGGGTCAAGGAACGCCCACCTGCCTCCATCGGAACAGTCTAGCATCCAGGTTGTGTTACAGGGGCTCCACAGTGTGTGCTGAGCAGACCCATGGAACCAAAAGTAACAGACAAAGGAGTTTGTTTTGTAAATACTGTTCAATGTTAGGAATAGCTGCTATGTTCCTTTTGTAGGTGTGTTTGATCTTGAAACTGTGAAGGACATGAGGTGTTGGGGCTCTGGATTGGTTCTTCTTCTCACCCTCAGTATAAGTTTTGTTGATTTCACATAATGTTATATAAACTAATTAAGAATTATTAATTCAAACTTTTGCAGTGTTAATCTATAAATGATGGTTTGATATACGTAAAAGATGTATTGTTGAAAAAATACTTGGATACCTTTTATTTTATATTTGTATTAAAAATAAAGTCTAATGGTAAAAAAAAAACAAACACAACACCCCACCTTTTTAAATGACTGCTTTTTCCTCCAAGTTCACATCAGATGGGTAATGTGCCCATGAGAATGACTCCACTTTCTTTTCTGAAATATTCCAAGACACTATGTCACTTGTCTTAGAAGCTCAGAAGGGGACACATTGTGACCTGTGAACTGGTCTTAGTTTATGATCATCACATCATTGATCTGGCCCCATTATAATTCAGCTAGTTTACCAAAATTACAACATTGCTAATCCCTTAAACTGCTTACTACTCTGAAAGTTTTTGTTGTTATTGTTTCCTCTGCTCGCAAGAAATGATCTCTGGTTTCTAATAATATGGTCTAGCTCTTTGGAATTAACAAGAGGTCACCATTTGAACATCTCACATATCTGACCACTTTTTTAACTCGGATCCAAAAGAATCTGGAAGATTCCTTTTGGTCTTTCAGGTTTGTTAGTGTTCTTGTTGTGCGCTGTCGAGATGGAACCATCTCATACCTGACCCTCTAGGGGTTTTCAGAAGCAGCGAACAGCATTGGAGAAGATTGCACCTCTTTCTCCTGAGGATTCGTACCATGTGCCTTTGGATCCACAGCACAACTCCTTACTACTAGGCTACTAGAGCTTTAAGGGCAGGTGAGTATAACTTTGCTTGCTGCTTCAAGAGGTAGGGGGAAAGAGTGTTTCCTTGGCTTGTGTGCCAAGTACATTAATATTGAACCTGAGGAAGTACTTATTATATTAGTTGGCATATTTTGTTATTTAATAAAGATTTTTTAATAAAGAAGAGTACTGTTGGGAATGAAAAATTATTGGTGTGCAGTTGAATTTAATGATAGTGCTATAATTTCATTTAATGTTGCTTGATAGGAGAAATAAGAGCTCTTTTTATTGAGGGTAGATTTGGAGTCCTGTTCCAAGAATCATACATTATTTAGAGCCATGTTTGTGTTTGATAAGCTTTTAATCCTGTTGTTCACAAAGTAAACCTTTGTTATGAATTTCTCACCAGGATCTTCATACTTATAAAGTGAAAATGAGGAACTGAGGCTTCACAAAGCAGTCAGAATGATAAAAGACTTGGGTGATATTGGTTATGACCTTGGAAATTGGAGTAAAGCTTGGAATAGTACCTTATTGTGCTTTGGATAAAGTCTCAATATCATACCCATAAAAAGGGGAGTCAAGTGGAATAAATCTTTATGTTATAACACTGTTAAGACTCAGCTACAAATAGTAGTAATATCTTGTGCTGCATTAAGAAGAAAATAAAAACAAACTTACATTAAGGATATGATAGTGTGTTTTCATAAAACCCCAAAGCAGAATGTTACAGACCCTCAGAATGGATTTGACTGAGCTGGAACCTAAAAGCTATCGAGAACTCTGTTGGAATTAAGCACAGATACACTTGATCCCAGAATTCAGGGCATGCTGAACAGCACCCCTGGAGGCATGGGAATTGGGAAAAGTCGAGACATTCCCATGGCGAGAACTAACAGCCTCTAATGACATTGGCCACCAGAATAACACCACCTTGCATGTATCCTGTGTCTCTGTGAAGGAGCAAGAGGCAGATTGCTTGACTTGCCCATCAACCCCAGAAACATATGCGATGAGGGAGAGTCCCCAAAAGGAGAAGAAGATGCTGTGGGCATAACATGAAGGGGTGCCAGACAGACAAAAATCACAAACGTCACCTCTGGAAATCTTGAAAACTTCGTCTGTGTGTCCACCTCTGCCTCATACTGCCTTTCTGTTCTTTACTCTTCTCACAACGCCCTCATCTCCACTTCCTCCTAGAGCATTGTCTGCTACTCAGTCCATCTGCCAGAACGCTTAACGATCCCACAGCCCATACATCCAACCACACAGAAATGTTAACACTCAATTTCAAATTAAAACCAGGGAGGACAATCATTAAGGAGTTTGTTTGTTTGTTTGTTTGTCTTCAACGTGTGTGTGTGTGTGTGTGTGTGTGTGTGTGTGAGAGAGAGAGAGAGAGAGAGAGAGAGAGAGAGAGAGAGAGAGAGTGTGTGTGTGTGTGTATACCGTCAAATCAGATCATCAGATCTGACTGGTAAAGGAGGAGATTGTCCCTCATTTTCCAGCAGAGCATCTGGTGGAGTTGAACTACATACCTCTGGGATTGTGGTACAGCTTCTTGCCACTAGGCCACCAGAGTTCCCTAAGGAGTTTCTTGAGAGCTGAGCAGGAGCTTCCAAGGGTCCCTATCACAAAGTTTTATTAACCACTTTTCACATTTTATTTGTCCTCTTTAATGAGATGGCTTCATTTCTGTTGTGATTTTTCCAGGAGACCTGAAAATAGAAATATTAGGTATTTCATATGCCAATTTTAAAACAAAACGATGCATCCCATTTACATGGAAACTCATTAATTAGGCTGTGCTTTCTTAATCATTATCAAAGTTTGCCACACATTTGATTCTCTTGGGAAATTTATAAAAATAGTAATGCCTACGTTTCATCCCCAGTGTGATCTGATAGGTCTTGGGTGCAGCCTGGTCATGTTGTTGTTGTTATGTGCTGTCAAGTTGACTATGACTTAGAGCAACACTGGGAACAATAGCTCTGAACCCTTCCCTAGCCTGAGCCAATCTCGCCATCTCAGACACATCTGCACCCATTGCCACAGTTGCTATGTCAATCCTTTTCCTCCAGGGTCGTCTTCTCCTGTGCTGAACCTATGCCCTTCCAAGCATGGCATTCTTCTCCAAAGACTGGTCCCTCCTGGCAACGTGCCCAAAGTATGTGAGATTTGAAATTCTTGTATGTGAGTTTTGAAATTCTTGCCTCCAAGGAGCAACCTGGTTTCACACTCTCCAGAACAGACCTGTTTTTCTCTTGACAGTCCATGATATGTTCAATACTCTTTTTTCAGCACCACCATTCAAAGACATCAGTTCTTTTGCTGTCACCTTTAGTTATTATCCAGCTCTCAGATGCGTAGCAAGTAATTGAGAAGACAGACCATGGCCTGGATCAGGCACACCTTGGTCTTCAGACTGATATCATTGCTCTTTAGCACTCTGAAGAGGTCCCTGACAGCCAACTTTCTCAATACAATTCATCTTTTTATTTTCTGACTGCTAATGTGAAGAGTGTTGATTGTGGATCCAAGTAGGATGAAATTATTAACAACTTCAATCTCTTCATCTGTCACAGTGTTGTCAGTTGGTCTAGTGGTGACAATCTTTGTTTTCTGGATGCTGAGATGCAGTCCGTTTTGAAGACTACAGTCCTTGACCTTCTGCAGCAATCGCTTCAAGTCGTCTTTAGGTGAAGAAGGTTGTGTCCTCTGCATAACGCAGGTTGTTGATGAGTCTCCCTCCAATCCTGCTGCCACATTCTTTTTTATAAAGTCCTGAATGATCTGTTCCACATACCGATTGAAAAGGTACGGTGGAAGGAAGCATTCCTGATGCCTTGCTTTAGACCATGAGATACAGCACTGGAGGCTGAGCACTCACACTGGGAAACACAAAATGAGGAATAGTTATAAAAAGCCACTCATAATTGGAATGTAGAATGTACAAAGTATAAACAGAGACATTGTTAAAAAAGAAATGGAATGCATAAATATTGACATAAAAATATTGACACTCTAGGCCCTGGTGAGATGAGCTGGATTAGCACAGGCCATTTTGAATCAGAAAAGCACATGACCTACTGTGCCAGGGATGAAAAAGTGAGGGGAAAATAGAATATCATTCGTAGTAAAGATCATTTCTAGATCCATCCTGAAATACAGCCTTGTGAGTGGCAGGGAATAGCCATATGCATACAACAAGGATGACCTGTTAATACCATTAACATCCAAATATATGCACCAACAGCTAGAACCAAAAAGGGGGAAATAGAAGACTTCTACCAACATATGCAGCCTGAAATCGATTAAACATGCAACCAAGAGTCATTAATAATAATTGGTGACTAAAATGCAAACGTTGGGAACAAGGAAGAAGGATCAATAGTCAGAAAATATGTACTTGGTGACAGAAATGAGGCTAGAGATAGATTGATGGAATTTTTGTACAATCAATGAGTCATTCATTGCAAATACATTTTATAAAAAAAAATCAAAACCCACAAATGGCAGTTGTACACATAGTCCTCACCTGATGGACTACACAGGAATCAGATAATTACATCTGTAGGAAGAATCATTCGAGAAGCTCAAGATCAGTTGTGAAAAGTAGACCAAGTGTGACTGTGGAACGGACCATCAACAACTACTCATGTGCAAGTTCAAGTTGAAAGAACCTGGTCATTGAGACTTTTAAAACCATGTGATTGACAACTCTGCTGTGCAGTCAAGGTTGAAATCCACAAGGAGAGAGCAGAAACAATCTGAGATCGATGTAGTTTTGCCAGATGGTCTATGCACCATCAAAGAAGAGAGTCTGTTCTGTGGGTTTCCATTTTCAAAACCTTTAAGTCTACTTTTCTAATTGAGTTTATACTAAACATTTATATCCAGAAATGACTACTGAAAATGCCTACAGAAAGAAGTTTGATTAAACAAGGGGGCTTTAAATATGGA